AGAAGGGATTGCGGCGTGACCATCCCCCCTGGGGGGTGATTTCTCGCTTTCTGTCTCTATGTCTCTCTCTGTCTGTCTGGCGAGCGCACGTGCCCTATAGCGAAAACCTCTCCAAAAAAAAAAAGAAAAAGAAAAAAAATATATAAAAAGAGTATCGGCAAGTTCACCATACCTGGCTCGCTGTCGGCCGTTTCTTCGGATCCCAACTCAGCATCTCGCTCATAAGCTGGATGGCTTCGTTACTGGCATTGGGGATGAGGGTTTTTAGGTTTATAGGAACACACTGCGGAAAGCGGAAGTTCATAGAGGATGCGAGCTGGTACCCTTCTGGCCAGTCACTCTGTGCAGGGCAAGTGTAAGTGTAGGTGGGGGAAGGAAAGAAGAAAACTGTTAGTGATCAACTTAAAAACATGATGATAATATAAAATTCAGTCATTATTAAAACTTTAATGTTGGGACCAGCAGTTGGCGTAATGGCTATGTCGCTGGACTCCCGTGTAGCTGACTGCGGTTTGAGTCCCAGGCCCAGTGGCTTAAACTCACGCTGGGCACGTGTGTGTGCATGCCCAAGATCCCGAGAGGAGAATGGAGAAGGGATTGAGGCGTGGCCATCCCTCCTGAGGGTTGATTTCTCGTTTTTTAACTCTGTCTCTCCCTCTGTCTTTCTGGTGAGTGCATGTGCCCTAGAGCAAAAACCTCTTAAAAAAAAAAAAACTTTAATGTTGATTCACATAAATAAATGTGAAAATAAAATACCAGATCACACATAAGATTCAACACTTCAAACAGTATAGAAACATTGAACTCAGAATTTGGGAAAAAAGGAGAAAGGTTTTTATAAATGTTGAAATATTACATTCTCTGGTATTTGAATCTTGATGATGATGACTTTGATCAAATAAAGACAGGTGCGTTAGACTCGGGCCGATTACTGCAAAGATCCCCACTGCATGTGTACTGCGTCCTGTGTTAAAAGCTGCACCTCGCTGAGAACTGACAACTGTCAAAGCTTCAGTGTCTGCATTTCCTTGTCTAATGTCAGCGACACGCCATATGGTCATTTAACTAGGATGTAACGATACATACACTTCAAAAGTGTATCTCAGGGGAACCAGCAGTTAGCGTAATGGCTATGTCGCTGGATTCCCACGTAGTCGACCGCGGTTCGTGTCCCGGACCCGGTGGCTTAAAACTCACGCCGGGCGCGTGTGCGTGCGTGCCCAAGATCCCGAGAGGAGAATGGAGAAGGGATTGCGGTGTGACCATCCCCCCTGGGGGGTGATTTCTCACTTTCTGTCTCTATATCTCTCTCTGTCTGTCTGGCGAGCGCACGCGCCCTACAGTGAAAATCTCTCCAAAAAAAAAAAAAAGAAAAAAAATGCATCTCAGATAGTAATGTCTAGTGAAATGTAATAAGGAATTGGAAAATCCACAGTTCAAGAAATGAAATATTCACAGCAGAGGTGTATACAAGAAGAAAAGGTGAAGAGAAAAGTGGGCCCAGGGTACCAGGGGCTAAAGACAGATGCCCACAGACACTCGGGCAATTAGGCAGGAGCCTGAGCAAGGCTGTCCGCGGAGATGCCGGCTGGTCATCAGCTCAGAGTTACATTCTGAATATATAGAAGTTTTCCTTCAGTTCTTTTTAAAATAATTTATTATTTTATTTAACTTTACTTATCATTTTCAATTTGACCAGAAACAGACAGAGAGAGAAGAGGGAAAGTGAGAAAGCAAGCCACCAGGTTTGGGACTGGAACTGATTGGCCACGTGGAAGTCCAGCACCCTTAACCACCATGCCACCTGCCAGCCCCTCTTTCAGTTCTTAAGGAAAGGCAATAAACTTTTTTCTTAGGTGGATTCTGGTTTCTTGCAATCCTTATCCCACCCCAATGAAAGAAAAAAGATGATAAGAAAACTGCTATAGGAAGAGCCTATTTGAAGATGAAAATATCAGATGTCCAGGAAGTTATCAATAATCAAAAGTTACAAAAATTAAAAACAAAACAGCAAGTTAGAAATAACCGAAAATAGGGCCAGCAGATGGCGTAATGGTTACGTCGCTAGACTCCCATGTAGTCGACCATGGTTCAAGTCCCAGAATTGGTGGTTAAAATTCACCCCAGGCGTGTGCGCGTGCATGCCCAAACTCTCAAGAAAAGAATGGAGAAAGGACTACAGCGTGGCCACTCGCCCTAGGGGGTGAGTTCACCCTTTCTGTTTCTCTGTCTCTCTGGCAAGTGCATGCGCCCTATAGCAGAAATCTCCCTAAAAAAATATAATAATAATACTAAATATATAATAATAAAAAGAAAGAACAGAAAGCTAGAACAACTTAGGGATAAGCATACTTACTTTTTTGGGAGTCCCTAAAACTTGGCATATTTTAAAGATTTCATCAACCTCACTTGTCCCTGGG